TGGTATTTTCAGTTGTCTCAGATGCATGTGAAAGTTAGACAATGATTAAGGAAGAATTAATACATTCGAACACGGGATTTGAGAAGAATATTGACTGTATCATAGACTGCCAGAAGAATTAACAAGCCTGTGTTAGAAGTGCAGCCAGAATGCTCTTTAGAAGCAAACATGGCAAGACTTCATCCCATGCACTTTGGACAAGGACCCGTCCCTGGAGAAGGACATGCTTCTTAAAGTGGAGGGTCATCGAAGAAGAATAAAATCCTCAACAAGATGGATTGACACAGTGACTACAATTATGGGCTCAATCACAGCAGTGACTGTGAGGATGGCGGAGAACCGGGCAGGCCTTTGTTCTGTCATACAGAGGGTCACAGTGATTGTGAGGATGGCAGAGGACCGGGTAGGGCATCGTTCTGTCATACAGAGGGTCACAGTGATTGTGAGGATGGCGGAGAACCGGGCAGGGCATTGTTCTGTCATACATAGGGTCACAGTGATTTTGATGGTGGAGAATTGGGCAGGGCTTCGTTCTGTCATACAGAGGGTCACAGTGATTGTGAGGATGGCGGAGGACCAGGCAGGGCATTGTTCTGTCATACATCTCATAGGGTTATTCTGAGAGTCAAAACCAACTTAGCACCTAACAACCACAACAGCAAATTCATCATCGTGGAATTCTTCTATTAGCCAGGACAGTTTGTTCCTGTGTTCATTTGTTTGTCACAAACTTTATTATGAAGAGTAGAAAAAGTAATGGAGAAAACATTTCTTAACAAGGTCTTTCCCTCACCCCCAAGAGGTAGATATTGCTCTATAATGAGGCAGGTGCATGTTGTCAGGTATCTGGACCACTGGCAGGTAACCAGGTGAACTTGGCCAATATGCTGAGTCCTCTCTTCAGTCATTTCACACCCTGGCCTGCCCTAGATACAGCCCTGAAGACTAATTCTGCCTCAGAACTGCTATTGATCTTCCTTGCGGAAGATATTTTAATCAATTCCAAAATCAAGTTATGAAGAGTTTTTAAGGAAACATTCTGATTAGACTGTACTTGGATTAGCGAGTAAGAGCAGGTCCAGAATGAAATATCCCTGTGAAAGATAATTTTTTATTTGCTCTTTATCCCATATACTTTTATTCACAGTACCTCTTAGAACTTGTAGTCTTTTGACATTTATGATTCCTGAAGTTTTTGCTGCTTTGTTTTAGGGTAAAACCAATTATGGTAATAATAAGAGGTACATAAATTAATGACAAATGTAGATAATCTATAAAGCAATTTATCACAGATAAACAAAGCCTTTAGAAAGCAGTCTCAATTGCTTGAAATACTATACAAGTCTCAAACACTTGATGGCTGTTATCTGAGATAAATGTAAGTACTTTGCATCTGGGCCCAAAGCCAAATGCAATGTTGAACTCATTCTTACCAGAAAACAGGAAAACAAAACAAGGGAAGAGCAATACGCAGTTTAAAAGGCTTTAATGCTGCTTTAAGTCTTACGTTGATGATATCTGAAGAGCATGTAACAGAATTTGGGTATCTTAAGTAGAATGAGCTAAAGAATATTGAAGTCATTGTAGACGGTATGTTGTTAGGCAGAGCTTTTAGTGGCAGATGGAATTTGTGCAGTAGCTCTTTTAATCTGTGTCATCCTTGATCTCTGGTGAAATTTAATAGAGCTCACAATAATGAAAAGTTAGCATTTGGCCACTTTTGGAAAAAGTGGTATCTTCTGGACTTATCAGTGAAGCAACACATTAATAATATGTAGAGACAGAATTGAAATAGTCCTCTCAGATGATACATACACATGAGGGTTGGGCGCTTAATGAAACAGATTTTTCATTTTAAGAGTCTAATATAGAGCAGGTTGATGAATAAAAGAAAATTAATTATACATAAAGAATGCAATGTAGCCAAGCTTAAGAGGTCATACTACAAGTAGGATCCAGAAAGGATTCTTTATATTTTTGGTGTTGTCATTTTTGATGGTTTAACAAGAAGGATGTTTACTCATGGCAGAAGTACGTATTTTTAACTTTGGTTGTTGAATGTTGTGCTAGTAAATTCAAACATACACCATTTTTTTCTGCTTATAAAAACAAAATATTCTTGTTGTTATAACCTGCTATATAAATATTCTGTATTTGGGGAAATACAGAAACAAAAAAAAAATATTTCCCAACACCAAACTAATACCATTGTATCACATATTTTTGCTTAGTATTTTCTCATGTCATTACAATGTTATAAATATTATTCTATAAGAATCCCTTATGCCCCGTAGTTGTGTTTCAGATTTAATGTATCTTAGATAATAATTTAAGCTGTTTTAGATAATAGGTTTTTTTTACGTAATTTTTTTTTTGAATGATTCACAAATTTGCATGTCATCCTTGCTCATGGGACGTGCTAATTTTCTCTGTATGTATCGTTCCAATTTTAGTTAATGTGCTGCTGAAGCAAGCACTATATGTAATTTTTTAGTCCCCATTTCCTGTACTTCCTTGGGCTTTTAAGTGCTGTCAAGTCAGTTTTGACTCATAGCAACCCCATCTGGGGTTTCCCAGGAGCAGCTGATGGATTTGCACCACTAACCTTGTGGTAAGTAGTCCAGTGCTTACCCTACAGTGCCACACCAGGATTCCTTGGTCAGTGCATTGTTGGAACAGGACCAGGGCTAAGGTGAGGTGAGGATGGCACTTGCCTCTGGCATAAAATTTGAGGGAATGCCGAAAATCTTGGGAACAAAGATGAACAACACTTTAAAGCAATACTTAAAAAACAACAATGAAATCGATGTAAAACCCACTTACTGTAAGACAGATATCTTTATCAGAAATTTATTTACTTTAGATCTCTCTAAGTATATGTATTTTTAAAGCCTTTGTGTATCATGTATAAACAGTTTAAAGATATGTCTGTCTTTGAAGTCACTTTTGGTACAGGTAGGAAAAGTATATCTTTTTCACTTAGTAGGTACCTACTTATAGAAGGAATACAGCATTGATTGTACTTATGGTGTAGAACTGAGGGTCAGCAAACAGTTTCTATAAAGATCAGGTGTTTTGGCTTTATGGACCTTAAGGTCTCTGTTGCAACTCCAAAGCTCTGCCACACTGCACAGTGAAAGCAACCATGAGTAGTATGTAAATGAACAAGTGTGGCTGTTACCCAATAAAACGTTACCTTTGGAAATAAGCCTGTGCAATTTGAAATTCATATAAAATTCATGTCACAAAAGTCTTTTTATGTTTTTAAACACTGTTGTACTTGTTAGTGCTGTTGGGTTGGTTCCAACTCAGTGATCCTGTGTAGGTCTTCCAAGGAGCAGCTAATGGGTTTGAACACACTGACCTTGTGGTTCACAGTCCACTGCTTTTCTGTAGAAATATAAAATTTATTCTTAGTTTGCAGGCTATACAGTAACCAGCCAGAGGCTGGATATGCCCATGGGCCATAGTGAGCTAAGTCCTGGTGTGGTGGAACATTAGTTTTCATGTATAGATTTTTTTTTTTCCCATTAAATTTAACTTCATAAAAAATGTGGGTTTTTTTTTTTTTACACTAATCAGAGTATTCATGATTAAAAATAAAACATTAGAATGTTTTATGTGAGTATCAAGAATGATTGGTATTTTTTTCCTTAAAGTTTAAAGTATATTTTTAAAAAGGTTTTTGGAAAAATACTTTAAAAGGTCCCATCTATTCTTTTGCTTACATATTTAATTCCAAGAATTTAAGAGTATTCTTCTTTTGTTTGTTTCTTCTAAAAATATAAACATATTTATTTAAAATACATCAAAATGACAAACAGCCATATCCCGCAAAGCCTATTTTCACAGCAAAATATGCACTGTGGTGAATGGTGGGGTTTTTATCCTGCCATTTAGAGGAATGTTGTACATTTGAGCTTTAGCGACTGAAAATGTTTTACACAGAGCTCATCTCTGGAACTGATTTTCACACAAAACCAGCCAAATGATCACTTTGCCTGTTCAGACACGAGAATACTGAAATGGCAGAATTCAAAGAGGAACACAAGAAGTACCGTTCAGTATCGCTCAAGGCCCTTCCCACCACAGTGCTGTGACGAGCTTGCCAGAAGCGCCTTCTTTTCCAGTCTTTGGAAAGAGTTTTACTTTGCAACAAAGACGTGCCCACCACCTGGCAGGGTGTGTGATACAAGCCTGCAGATGGTGACACCATTCTGTTTGAGGTCTGAGGTAACTGGTTCTTAGAAATATCTGCATCACCCAACAGCATCGAGATATCAGAGCTGGAAAAGAGGAAAATGGTAAGGTTTGGGGCTAGAAAAGACAAGTAGAAAAAAGCTTACAGCAGTTGCTTTTGAGGTGACAAAACCAAAGGTACAATAGAATTAAATTCCAAGACACGTGGCTGAAGAGCATAGACATCCATGTTCTTTTGGGAGGACTAGGCAAAGGAATGAGGGGTTAGTTCCCAAGAGTATTCTTAATCAAAGGCCTTAATGATTGCTCTACTTAATTTTCTCTTGTTCACAGGTGGAGACATATTCCGTCTTGACACACTTTTAGAATGGTGGAGAGAAAAAAATGGCTCCTTCTGTTCCCGGCTCATTATTGTGTTAGATAGCGAGAATTCAACCCCATGGGTCAAAGAAGTAAGAAAGATTAATGACCAGTACATTGCAGTGCAAGGAGCTGAGATGGCAAAGACAGTGGATATTGAAGAAGCTGACCCACCACAGCTAGGTGACTTTACAAAAGACTGGGTAGAATATAACTGTAACTCCAGTCATAACATCTGCTGGACTGAAAAAGGTCGCACCGTGAAAGCAGTCTATGGTGTATCTAAGCGGTGGAGTGACTACACTCTGCATTTGCCAACAGGAAGTGATGTGGCCAAGCACTGGATGTTACACTTTCCTCGAATTACATATCCACTAGTGCATTTGGCAAATTGGTTGTGTGGCCTGAACCTCTTTTGGATCTGCAAGGCTTGTTTTAGGTGCTTGAAACGATTAAAATTGAGTTGGTTTCTTCCTACTGTGCTGGACACAGGACAAGGCTTTAAGCTCGTCAAATCTTGATTTGGAGGCCTGAGTGGAATATTACTGACAGCCCCCGCTATCACTTATCACTTACTTGCCATTTTTGGATTGCTGTAATTTTATTTGTGTAAGACACGAACTTGCTACTTCTGTAGCTCCTGTCATTTTGTCATTTTTCCAAGTCATTAGGGAGTAAGTATTATCTTATACTGTAAGTATGTAAGGAGTTATAATTGCTGATTCTGTGTAAATGCAGAAAAAAATGATAAAAATAACAATGCACTTTGACATATGTTCATATATGTCTCGGATTATAAAAACAGCAGTTACATATGATCTGTAATGGTCAATGAAGAATTACTAATGCCTTTCTTTTATAGGCATACATTAGAAAATAACAGAGCAGATCCATTTGTTATTATTAGGAGAAAAATACCAATTTGCTTACTGAAATCTTTTTTTGAACAATAGGTTTGAGTCCAAGACCTTTTTTGTTTTTCTCTTAAAAAAGGAAAAAAGCCTTCCCAAAATGAATGCATAACATGTGGATGTCTTGGTTGTTATCTGTTACCAAAATATTTTTGTAGATCAAAACATTTTTTTTTTTCACATTGATAAGAGGCTAGAGCCTACAAGTTGTCCCTTCTTGCAATGTTGGGGTCTCTGAACGCACTGGTAATTTTAATAGTCTTTCTCAGGGTAATTTAATGCTTCCGTAATGAAAAATGTTTCTAGCTGCAAATTCCTTCCAAATAAATTATCTTCCTCCTCAAAAAGTACTCTTATAAAATAGAGTAATTTCTCATTGACTAATTCAAGCAGTTTTAAATATTTAGAAAGGCTTTTGATCTCTCTAGATAGAGTTAAGCTCTCCCATGAAAATTATTTTTCAGATTCCATGAATGATAACATTATTCTATTTCAGGTCAAAGGATAGGAAACAGGTTACTTTTTCCTTGTATACTTGTATTATGTTTAAAAAAAAAAAAGTATTCAGTATTAGCAATTTTAGTTAAACGTAACGGTGTGGTTATAATTTTTTAAACTCAATTTAGTGTTTTTTTTCTGATTTAAGCCTACACGAATCAGTGTATCTCCTAGAGGTAATTCACCTCCTATTCCTTTCCAGTAATCCTTACATTCTAGACATTCATGTTTGAGAAATAATAAAAGGAATATAATCACATTTGGGGATATTCTAATCTTTGTTGTTGCAATAGTGTGACTTCTTACCATTGAAGCTATTTCTCCAGCCTCAGAGAGAGAGCATACAGCCTCTGCCATTTTACACCTGTGAATCGGAAATTGATATTTTCATTAGAAAGAGGTCACTTAGCTTCAGGGAACTCATATACCACTATCTATGCAGCAGTTATAACCTGCTTAGTCTTGTGTTTTGATTGACTTTCCTAAGTTTTTTTAATAGAATTTTGGTAAGTATTAATTCTCCATTTAAGGTGCAAATAACAGTAATTAAATATTTTAGTATATTCAAAATTATAGTCATTAAAAATGTCCTTATTTACGAAAAGTTCATGCTTGCTGATAGGCTAGTTTGAACATTTCTAACATTTGGTCAAGTGTATTAACAGCAGCCACAGAAATGAAAGAGTATAAAGACTAAGTTTATACTATTTCACTTCATTATTGTGTTTTTTTTAATTATAACCTGATAGCTCCAAAAACAGTTAAATTTCTATTAAGTAAAATCTCCATTTACGTTTCTCTCTAAACCTATATTGAGCAAAGTAGCTTTAATTAAAGCATCTTCCTTTACTCTGAAAAAGCCAAATATAAAAGTAAATTCTTTATTCTTTATGAAGCAGTAGTACTAAGTTGGTACTAAAAATCACATTTCAAAAGGTAGCATACAGTTTAAGAGCCAAAAAATGTTTTTGGTATGCATTTTTTGTGACAGGATAACCAAAAAGGGTCTTTGGGCTGAAAATGTGACTTGACCCAATATTTTTAACTAAGCAGCTGTAGAATATCCATTTGACTGAATTCTACAAAAAAAAAAACAAAAAAAACTTCTAAATGACTCATGAAGATGGGAAAGCTCAATGGAAGAAGGCATCCTAACTTAAGCCACCAATTAAAACCAGAACACAAGTCACTGATAGGATGCAAAAGGAAAAACCAAGAGGCATAAAGTGATTGATTACTTTTATACCTAAAAAGTGAAGAAGAAAAAAATAGGTTTGACTTTTAATGAGACTAATTTTCCCATGACTTTCATTTTATGTGTCATCACATATTTAGGAAGGAGTTATTTGGAATGAGAAGAATTATTTTAGAACAAAGCTTTTATCATTCCACTAAGAAGAAACTGATAACATGGAGATATTTTTTGACATAATGTTGGCTTAATTTATTTCTGTATATGTTATCTTGCTAAAAACACAAAATCACTAGCCCCTTAAAAACATCTTTTAAGAAGGTATGCTCATGATGTGATAAATTAGGGAGCTAATAAGTTCTCTCTGTCACCATGAATTTTCAGTTATGCAATTATTTTATTCAGAATTTAGTTTTGCTCTGATTTAAACTCATCCTTCTGGTATACTTGGACTTATCTTTCTGTACCTTTCTATGTTGCTCTTCTTGATAAATACAGAATTCTATACAAAGCGTCTTTTTCAGAAGACCATTTTTATGACCAGTTTTCATAACTTGTATGCTTTAAAAAAATAAAATGCATTTATATTTAATATTATTAGTAGATAAGATTTTTGTTTAAGTAAAACTTTCACTAGAATCAACTTGTAACTATGTATATTTTGTTCATAATTTTTTTTGCATAAATATATCTACTGTTTGGGGAACTGCCTTTTTATATGTATTCTTTCACATTTAGATCTTGATTTTTTTTTACATTAGAATTTCTACATTAAGTTTCCCATGGGGGATATGATAGTTAATATGTGTATGTCAAAAGAAAATTGTTTCATTTTAAGAATGCGAATAATAAGTATATTTGGTACTAAATTCTCAGAGAAGTTAAATCTATAAATACTTTTGAATGCCTCCTTTATAATAAGCTGCTAGACTTTTTAGGAGAACAATGTTGTTAAATGTCATTGAGTCGGTTCCAACTCAAAGTGATCTTATAGGGTTTCTGAGGCTTTAAGTCTTGGAACAGAAAGCCTCATCTTTCTCCTGTGGAGTGGTTGGTAGACTTGAACTGCAGATTTCATGGTTCACAGTTCCATGCTTACTCTACGGATTTTGATATTTCTGGTACGCATTTACCCAGAAGAATGCCTTGCCCTTATAGGGAACATTAAGTAAAAATTTTTGACCAAGTGAGTGCGTTTAGAATCCTTAGGAGAAATGAGATTAACTTGATTTTAAATTGTTGCATTTTCTTTACAATGTTACTTAAAATGGATATTATTGTCAATCCTCATTAAACATATAGCTGAATAAAGAGAATTACTGAACCAGTGAAAGGAAAAACAGCAACTCTTACAACTTAAGGAATTTAAGGGTCAGGGTTAAAAAGCCAACCAGTTGCTATCAAATTGATTTCAACTCAGTGACCCCACGGGACAGAGCAGAACTGTCTGGTAAAGTTTCCTAAGCTGTGATCTTTATAGGGATCTTGGTGTGGCACTGTAGGATAACCACTGCACTGCTAATCACAATGTTGGTTGTTCAAACCCATCAGTCGCTCCTCAGAAAACCTGTACAGGGTCACTGTGAGTTCGAGCCAACTTGAAGGCACTTGACAACAACAATCTTTTTAACGATAGATTCAGGTCTTTTCTTTTGCAGACCCACTGCTAGGTTCAGACCACCAGTCTTTAGGTTAACAGATGAGTGCTTAGCCATTGTGCTACCAGGGTTCCTAGTGTCAGGACTAGGGAGGGGAAACAAGATTGGCTTGAATGGAAATGCAGCTTGAGGTCACCAAAGAATGACATTTACATGGTAAAATTAAGATAGAATCTTGACATTCATTTTCCCATTATTAGAAACGTCTAGATTGGAGAGTTTTCACAAATTATTTAAAAAAAAAAAAAAAAGTCTGACTCATGGACAAAGAAGGAATTTGGCTATGCTTATCAATGACAATCAAATTGTAAAGTAAAAAATCAGGCCCATAGGCCTAAAGTGCAAGGAGCCCAGGTACCATAGTGAATTACAAGCTGGGCTGCTAACCACAAGGTCAGTAGTTCAAATCTACCGGCTGTGCCAGGGAAGAAGATGAGGCTTTCTACTCCATAAAGATTTACAGCTTCGGAAATCCAATGCAGAGTCCCTGTGAGTTGGAACTGACTCGATGGCATGCAGCCACAACCAAGCTTAAGGATAAGCCAGTAAAAAGGTCATTGTCTAATTTTTAGAGCGTCTTCCCCATTCACTAGTTGAAATGAGTGTGAATCTAAAATATCAACAGCAGTAGTGTTTGGGGCAACCATTTTACTAAAGAATGCTGTTTAGACCAAAGCTAATCAGAAATTGAAAACTTTACCACATGACTAGGGTTTTTTCTCTCTTTGTTTCTATTATATATGAAAGCCATTTTGCTCAATTAAAAAAAAAAACTTCAAATTGTCCAGTCATCTTGAATGATATTCATACAATATTTAGATACTTTTTGTGATTATAAACTTAAAGTATTTAGAAGAAGTAGAGAGTTTTAGCAGATTTTTTCTTTGGTTTTGGTCTGGACTTGTTTATTCCAAATCAAAGATTTTCAGCAGTATACCAAGGATAAGTGGGGAGGAGGGCATATCTTTCTAGACTAGCAATGAAAACTCCATCTTAAGTAAACAAATTTTATATTAAAATACATACTAATGTATTCATGAGTACTATGCAATATTTGCATTAATTTTTACTATTAACCACAAGAAATCACACAAATTTTAGTCTTACAGTGAGCTATTTCTTCTCATTCCAAAATATCCAGCTTCTTCGACACATCTGGATATTAATGATATGTTATTATGCAGGGCATTTTTAAAAAAGAGATTGTTTCATGTCTTGGAATGCAGATAGCACAATAAATTTTCTCTAAACAAAGCACTGTCCATATGTATATGTGTATATATATGGAAATTTAGATGAGGGCCGTTTTAATGCAGCTTTACA